ACAGTGTGATGACACCTTTGTGCCAGACAAGCTGCTGCACTCCCGCCTTGGTGGCTGGCCAGCTCAGAGGGAGTATCAGGCACTGGCAGCTCTGTGCCACTGCTGTGTCTGTGCCCTCCAACAGTGAGGAAGTGCTTGTGCTGGATTGAAATCCTGCTCTGGCCTCTGTGACCCACTGATGGCTAATGCCAGCTGCAGAGCAGAGTACCTCATTCACTGCATCCTTCCCCAGAGCCATCTCAGCTAATAAATGCTGTCAGTGAGAAAAATGGCCCCAGAGGCCAGATTTCATTGTCAGAATGTGGCCTCTGGCACTGACTGTCTCATTCACTTGTGCTTTGTAAGTACAGAGCCGTGCTGTGTTTTCCCTGGCAGTAGCTAACCCGGGCTCCTGCACACAGGAGGGAGTTTGGGCTGTCCTGGGCAGGAGCTTGGGCATCCTCTACCTCCAGGTTCTCTTCCACCCTCAGAATTGGCATGGTGTTCTGCACATGGGATTTTCTAAGCACAGGCCACACGAGGGCCTTCGTACAAGATGTGAAATCTCCTCCGGTAGCAATCCTGCATCCATGCCTGCCATAGTTTTATGATGCTCTTTTTTTTGGCATATATCCCCTCTCCATTCCCTGGGAGATGATGCAGGCACTAGCAGAAGCTGACAGCTCTTCCCTCATGGGGTGCCTTGCTGTGTGCTGTTTGACAGCACTCAGACAGCTGAACAACAAATAAATCCATTTATTTTCAAAAATCAATCCTCACAGGAGCTCCCTGGGAAGACAAAACTTGTATTGCACTAATTATATTCTATAAAGTATCCCTTTATGCTTCACAACAGTTTAAGGAAGGAACTCAGGATATGATAATAAAAGAGAGGAACAAACTGAAGCACTGTTCTGTCTGTCCTCATGTGCTCTAGTGCTGAGTTTGATCTACATTGGTTGTAAGAGGAAAATGTGGACCTGCCCTATCTTCTGTAAGGGCAAACAGCATCCAGAGGTCATTTTAAAAGATCACATAACCAGCTATAGCCAACATAAGTAATTATAATGTATTTACATTGCCACAGTATTCTTGGGGTTTTGGGGTTTTTTTTGTTAATAACTTCTGTTATGTAGCACCTTTGTCAGAAATCAGCCATTGTCATCAGCTTCTCCAGGGAGCTCCCACAGAAAATAAGGGCTGAATGCCACCCTCATCTCCAGTCTGGTAGCTATTGGTGAGCAGCTGTTAGGAACCTTGGTCAGATCTGCCTCCTGGACACAGTACCTGTTTACATTTGAATATTGCCTCCTACCTTAGAGGAAATCATCTATTCCCATCAAGCCAGAACATCCCTTTTTCCCATTGCTTATTTTTAGCATATTGTACTTACCTTCTTGGGGTTCTTAAATCTGAGAAGGAGGTGTTACTAACATTTTTTCTGAAGCAACTGAAAATTTCCCATTTGTAAGCTATCTCTGTGTGCCCGTCAGATGACTACTGCTAAGCCTGCAGAGAGGTTTCACACATCACACAATAATTTGTGGTGATCCTAGCAACAACTCTGTTGGGTAAAAGGTGTCCATTATATTCCATGGCCTAATGTTTATCACGCTCAGTGATCAACACTCCTGGCTACTTCATGGAGATAGTTTATAAAGCTGAACTGCTGAACTACAGAACCACCTTGTTCTCAATGCTGGGAGCTGCTGCTTGTGTTGTAAAGGCCACTTGACTGCACAGGCTGCTGTGTACATGCAAAGTGCTCTCAATTAAAAAAAAAAAGCCCACAAATAAAGCCCAGAACTATGCCTATTTCTTCTTTAGACAGATACAATCACTCCTGCTTAAGCTCACATGCAGTGAAAATAGTCACTGAAAGGAGCTCTTCAAATCCCCTGCAAAGGCCATGTTTAGGCACTGTTTGGGTGATGACTGTAATCCATGAAATGAGAAGCTGGGAGCAGAACTGTGCCCGAGGGCACAGGCACTGCTTTGGGGCACAGAGGACTGCCCAGGCTCTGCAGCCAAGGCAGCACAGCTTTGCTATGGGAAGTAAACCCAAATCCACACAGGAACCAAAGTTACTCCTAAAGGAGGATCCCTCTCAGACACAAAGGACCTCAATGGCATGAATTTTGGTGCTGCAGTTTGTACTCAGAAGGTGATAAAGTCAGAGATGTCAAAGGAGGGATGCAGGGGTCCTGTGGTGAAGCCTGGCTGAGTTAGAAGGTTGCCTTTTTTTGAGCAGCCTGGAACAAAGGTGTTTGGCTATCAGAGACCTTTGGATGCTGTGTCTGAAATGTCTCATGTCCTCATGCCTGGAGGGAAAGAATTGAGACTGCCATTTTGTATAGTTGCTTCTAAATCTGCCAGCAGCACCTCAAGGCTTCAGCCAGCTAGTCCCCAATCAAGCCCTGGTTCTCAAACAGATATTTATAAATTCAGAATACTGCACTGCAGCAAGTGATGCTGGCATAAATTCCCATCTGTCATCCCCTAATCATCTCCCAGCACAGTGATCAATCTCTTTCAAATTCAAATGATCTTAACCACTTAGTGTCTAGAAAATATGCTGCAAGAAATGAGCAGCGTACCATCCAGGGCAGTTTAGGGGTGCTGACCTATCCAGCAGCTGTATGTAGCTCCACCTATGTTACATGAGAGACAAATATTTTTATATCTCCATCATCATCATCATCTCTGCCATAGTTCTCATCACAGACTACCATGCTAGTGCAAGAATTAGTGTCAGCAAGGTTCAAATATGGTCACAAATACTCTTCTATCACCTTTCTCCCCCAGTGGGTAATTTTTGCCCACAGGAGAGCAGGACACTGAGGAGACACTCAGGAGTTACTGAGAGCCTGGCACAAGGACACAGTTGGTCACAGAGTGGTGTGCCCACTCACTTGCCATTTTACTGAGCTTTAGATACTGTTTGAGGACACACCAAGGACCAACTTAACCCTGGCTAGGAAATGGATGGAGGACTGAGGCATCCATAGCTCATCCACACTTTACCTGAACAGTGTGCAGCAGGAAAAATACTCACAGACCCTGTGCTAAGACACTGGCATACTGACAACTTTCTGCTGCACCCCAGAATGTGTCTGCTTTCACAAAGTAAATGGTGTTACTATATTTCAGATCACCCAGCAAGAAAAAAGCTCTAATGTGATCCCAGGGAAAGCATTTCCAATACAAGACACAGTAATCCTTGCAGAAAAAATTGGGTAGATCTCTTGTGTACTTTGTCAGATCAATTTTCTGATCTGCCTCACCAAGCAAGGCTCGCTGGCCTCAGATAAATAACTTGCATTTCAGCACACTGCTGTGGTTGGGAACGTTAGGAGAGACAGGGGCAAAGGGTGTAAGGGTCTGCTCATAAATCTGCTCCTGTAGCAAAACAGAGTGGGGTTAGAAGCAAGCAGCAGGACCCCTGCCATAGCTAGAAAGTGTGAGGAGCAGGGCTGCTGTACCTGCACACAGCATGGCTTCAGCACCCTGCAGGAGCTGCCCTGGCACTCAGGCAGAGTTCCCAGCAGGGACCAGTGCCTTCAGACATCCCCCTTGCTGCTCACTGGCTCCAGCTGCTGGGGCTGGAATGAGTCAGATCCAGAGGATTTAAAGAGAAGATGCACCCCACGGGTCACATCCAATATCTGTGAAGCCGAGCCAGGCAGCCTGGCTGGCCAAAACCAGCAGTGGCTGCAGAGCCACGATAAACACTCCAGCTCGAGGATTTCCTTGACAGTACATCACTCACTGCATCTCCAGGGCTCATCAGCAGGCACAGCAGAGGCATTTCTGAGCAAGTAAGTGAAAAATGACACAGCAGTTCTGGCTGTATCACCTCTTGTCTCCCACGTCTGCGCTGAGCTGAAATCAATGCAGGTGCATTCACGTTAATGGAGGACAGAACTGGGAAAATTCCCCTGAAGGCAATTTGAGAGAGTAGCATTGGAAAGATCTTTTTCTTTTTTCTTTTTTTTTTAATATAGGAAAAGAGTCAGTTGATTGTCATGTTTGGTTTAGGGTTTTTTTTTCCAAGATACAAAATTAATACATTCAGTTAACACAGAAATAGGTGAGGGCTGTTAGTCAAGATCATTCACTCTGCTTCAGTTCATTTCCCTGGTGGCAGAAATCTGCTCCCAGACAGCAGGCTTTGAAGGCATTCATGAAGGAGGAAGTTTTTTCAGTGTCAAGTAAAACAGTTTTAAAAAAAACATTTTCAGTTGTAGGATGTGTCCTAGGCTGTCATTACCTTTATGTTACTAACTTCCTTTTTCTCTGGTTTAAAGGAATCTTTACAATTATTGTTGATTTGTTTTGGGAAATCCATCAAAGCTGGCAGAAATATTTGAAGCACTAAATGCACAGAAGAAGTGATTTACAGAACTTGGGAAAGTATCAACTGCAAACATTTGGCAGTCACTTGTACAGTAAAACAGATCTCTGATTTTTAAGCACTTCTTCAGGTATTCTAGCCAAGTGATACCAGCCTCTGATGGGAACAATCTTGTCTGTCTCATTCTAGCCAAACTGATAGTAGGAATTTTTTTTTTTCCAATTCAAGACTACACAGTAAGTTCTAGTAAACAAGAGGAAGTAGTTAAAATTTGGCTACACCTTAGTGCTCCAGCAAATCTCTCAAGTACTACATGGGCTGTTTATATTCATTACCCTTCTCATTCATCCCCTGTTATATGAAAAAGTGCAAAAAGCAAGGTGGGAAATAAGAATAAATGTGTGAGTGAGCTTTTTGTCTCCTGCTACCACTCCCTTTGTGTGCTCAGACAGAAGTCCCAGGGTGGATTCCACAGCTGAGAGCAGGGCCACATGCTCCTGTGATTGCAACAGCTTCTCTGAGAGACCAGACTGGGATGTTTTCCTTTTGGTTTCTTGAACTTTATTAGGGTGGTCATGTTGCCAAGTGCTTGAACAACTTCAAGGAAGTGCTCAGAAAATCTGATGTTACATCTTAATAGCTTAACTCTGTGTTTCTTTCTCCACAGCAAACATCTTGACAGTCATCATCCTCTCCCAGCTTGTAGCTCGTAGACAGAAGTCCTCCTATAATTACCTTCTAGCTCTGGCTGCTGCTGACATCCTGGTTCTCTTCTTTATCGTCTTTGTTGACTTCCTCATGGAAGACTTCATCTTAAACAAACAGATGCCTCAGGTACTGGACAAAATAATTGAGGTTTTGGAGTTTTCTTCCATCCACACGTCGATTTGGATTACGGTGCCGCTGACCATCGACCGCTACATCGCTGTGTGCCACCCCCTCAAGTACCACACGGTCTCCTACCCTGCTCGCACTCGCAAGGTCATTGTCAGCGTCTACATCACCTGCTTCCTGACCAGCATCCCCTACTACTGGTGGCCCAACATTTGGATTGAAGACTACATCAGCACGTCCATGCACCACGTCCTCATCTGGGTCCACTGCTTCACCGTGTACTTGGTGCCCTGCTCCATCTTCTTCATCCTGAACTCCATCATCGTGTACAAGCTGCGGCGAAAGAGCAACTTCCGCCTGCGAGGCTACTCCACGGGGAAAACAACAGCCATTTTGTTCACTATAACTTCTATTTTTGCCATACTGTGGGCGCCAAGAATAATCATGATACTGTATCACCTCTACGTGTCTCCTATAAACAACAGCTGGGTGGTCCATATTGTGTCGGACATCGCCAATATGCTGGCGCTGCTGAACACTGCAATTAATTTCTTCCTCTACTGTTTTATTAGCAAAAGATTTCGCACAATGGCAGCTGCCACCTTGAAAGCCTTCTTTAAGTGTCAGAAGCAACCTGTGCAATTCTATACAAACCATAACTTTTCCATAACAAGCAGCCCTTGGATTTCCCCAGCCAACTCTCATTGCATCAAAATGCTTGTTTACCAGTATGATAAGAATGGGAAGCCTATAAAAATATCACCATGAAAAGGCCAATAGTTGGAGTTTCTGGGTGCAAGTTCCTTTCAAGTGGTTACATCTTCAGGATGTAATTTTCTGAAATGGCTGTTTTGAAGAGAGGTCATTTGATTTCATTTCCCTGGGTGGCCAGGGGCAGATCAGACTGTCGGGAGGAAACAGGAGCACTTGATTTTAGGAGCAAAAGTGAGAAGGCAAACACCTCCATCTCTTATATAGCATTTTGAATATGCTTCAGAGTTCAAGTCTTAGTGTTCAGTCACACTCCAACGTTTTGCATCCCAACACCAGTGCAATCCAAAGTCATCAGAAGGGCAAAGCCACAGCAGTGTTTAATTACAACCTTTTAAAACACAACAAAACCTTACTTGACCATCAGTTCGCTATTGAGAAAGTAAAGAGATGCTTTTGTGTACTGTGGAAGGTGCCATTTCTGGAGTGTGCACTTGCCAAAAATTATGTGTCGATTCTGGCATGAAATGCCACCACACACAGTTGTGCTGTCAAGGCCTCCCTGCAGGAGGCAGCCTGTGAGACACACATGGTGACAAGCCTGGTTTTGGCTCGTTTGAAGAAGGCTCGAGGACCGATACAGTACCTGTTGCAGCCTTGGCATGGAAAGCAATCCTGCAAGCTGCCAATATTTGCGTGTTTTAAGTTGTTATTTAAGAATGTGACTGAGACAGGGGAGCTCAAGGGAGGGGGGGATGTTTCTAGAGCCAAGAACAAAAGCAGCATCTTTCCCCAGCTATTTCAGTCACGGTGTCTAAGGACTTTCAAGGGTGAAACCAAGTCCTGCCTAAAGCAGAGCTCTCACCAAAGCTGCTCCTGTGAGCAGTGATCAAAGCCTTCAAGTTCCTTCTTAATCAATACAGATTCTCAGTTATCCCTTAAGATTTTCTCCTGATGGATGATGCCATTCTCTTGCAGATTTGCCATTTAGTTGTTTTAAAAAAACCCCAAAAAACTGTGAAAGAGATTAATTAAATACCCAACAGCAGTAAAAACACTGAAGCCTTAGTTTAAGCTGATCTAAGTATTCCACTTATTTAGAGGAGGTTAGCTTCTCTTCCTTCACTCTCAAAAGCCAGCATCTCATCAATGCTGAATGTAGAAAATAAGAGATTTACAGGAAGGCTGAAAATGCATTTCTTTTCATTTCTTTCCCTTTCAGATCTTGGCATGTGGTCTCTTGGAGCCACATGCCACAGCCTCTTTATTCATTGGGCACTTAGTAGAGCCTCACTGGTGTGGGGGCAGTGAAGGTGTGTGGTGAACACAAGCCCAGCGTGGTCAGAGCACACAGCAGATCCTCAGGGTCAGTGGTGGCTTGGTGCTAACGCGGTGTTTGTGCCTGTGCCCATCTCCAGTGCCAGCAGGGAGCTTGTGGTGCATCACGAAGGGATACAGAGAGGTCCTCTGAGGAGGGATCCAGTCAGTCCTGCTACGGTGGGACCAGAGGGCTGAGAACATCTCTCTAAAACACATGGTGCAAATCTCATTTGGTGCAAATCCCTTAAGAAATGCCAGGTGAAGTCCTGCTGAGGACAAGAGTCTGGTTCCCTTGTGCCACAGAGGTCGTGTTTGCACGATGCCTGGTACCCACATCCTGCAAGAGCCAGCCCCAGCAAACCCAAGCTCACCTTCCCAGAAGGGAATGGCAGCAGAAACCAGGGCCAGGCCATGGGTGCCAGGCCCAGGCCATGGATGCCATAGGTACCAGGGGTACCATGGGTGCCAGGCCCAGGCCATGGGTACCATGGGTACCAGGCCCAGGCCATGGGTACCATGGGTACCATGGGTACCAGGCCCAGGCCATGGGTACCATGGGTACCATGGGTACCAGGCCCAGGCCATGGGTACCATGGGTACCATGGGTACCATGGGTACCATGGGTACCATGGGTACCATGGGTACCATGGGTACCATGGGTACCATGGGTACCATGGGTACCATGGGTACCATGGGTACCATGGGTACCATGGGTACCATGGGTACCATGGGTACCATGGGTACCATGGGTACCATGGGTACCATGGGTACCATGGGTACCATGGGTACCATGGGTACCAGGCCCAGGCCATGGGTACCATGGGTACTATGGGTACCAGGCCCAGCATGGAGGGGTTCTCCAGAGAGATCCGGGCTCGCTCAGGGCACAGAGGGGATGCCCAGGGCCCTCCCAGTGGCAGAGCTGCTCAGAAATTCTCTGTGAGGTGCTGAGGCACTCCAGGGACCCCACAGGCCAGAGCAAGGAGAGGGGCACGTCTGGGGAAATGGGGGCTGAGGGCAAAAGCTGACCCTTTCCAGCCTCACCCACCAAAGGGATGGCACCCATCTAAATGTCCCCAGAGAGAAATGAGGAGCTTCTCAGTCTGTTGGCTGTTCATCCTTGTGATCTCAAAGCTTCACCCTTGCAATAATAAAGTGTAAAAGGGATGCCCAGCCTTGCTGTATTTGTCATGACAGGGTTAAAATTATTGCTCCCTTTTTAGTGTTCTACAGAAAATGAGTTTTGTGGCCATCCTCCCTGCCCTTCTCTCAGAAACCTCCCCCTGGTCTTTGTTAGTTGATAGTAACCAAAGTTACCTTATGGAAAAGGTACTGTATGTTTCATTTTGGAAAAACACTGTATTTATAACTTATTTTTATTCTACATTTGTCATGAGGAATGCTTGTCTGAGTTAAATGTGAATGAGTCTGAAGTGCAATATCTATATAGATAAGTGGTTCATTTTTGAGAATGTATCTATTGAAAAAATACCTATTTATACAAGAAGTTCACTATTCTACTTAATATAATAGTAACCTTAAAGAAAATAGTGAATGTTTAGGGCTTTTATTTATTAAAAAAATTCAATTAAGTGCATGGCATATGCTGCCATTCACATGCTGTGACTTATTAATTTTTGTAACATAATGTTTATCCTGCAAACTATCAGTGTCATCTGATTTTTTCTGTCCTGATAATGTATTTTTGTAAATTACCATATTTAAAAACAAAATCTTTCTGCGTATTTTTTCCCTATGAAAAATAACGCATTCAATTCTTGTAACTTATTTGGAAAAAGCTCACAATCATTTTCCATATCCTTTTAGAAATGACAAGGTGCAATTTTCATGTACAGTGGATTGATCATTTCACTTCTGGTAATTTAGGGCTTTAAAAGCTTGCTTCCAAAGCCCTTTGAAGTTAAAGGGAAGGTTGCTAGTGGGTTTAGTGGTTGGTTTTTTCCAATCCCAGTCATTTTAGGAGAGCTTTGGATCAAGCTGTATCTTGTTAGCAAACATTCAAAGCCTTCTTAGAGTCCGGTTTGGATAATAAAGCCTTGACTTTTTAGTCTGCCATATGGGAGCTGCTGTTGATAATACTTGCCTTATTTTTGGTTGTGTGAAGCATCTTGCAATGACTGTTGCTAACTAGCCATTGTCTTGCTGTATTATTTGTACCTCCTAATTTTCCCATAGAAAAACTTAACCAAGCACATATAGTGTCATTATTTAGGGAAGAAGTATCCTGGAGACAAAACCATCTTTGTTGTGGAGATGGTCTTTTGTACTCTAATTTATATTTCAAATACCTAAAATTAGAAAAAAATAAGCTGTGAATGGACAGTTTTACAATTACTTAGAGGTATGCATTCTTGAAGACCACAGCTAGGAACAAAATACTTTTTAGATGAGTTGCTGGTATATAAAATTATGGGACCTATCACCTATTTAAATTGTGAATATTGATATTTTCATAAGTAGACAATATATTGTGTTTGACAAACTTGTTTGTATTATAATAAATTATGGTGCATAACTTAAAACTGTGTTTGGAGCTATTGTTTGATTTATGGATTCTTATGATATATTTCTGATTTATAGATACTTATGATACACTGTAAATAAGAGATAGAAAGTGGATTCTGAACCTCAGGAGACTGCACGTGGAAGAAACCCAACATTTTTTCAAATGAACATGGCTAACACTGCAGATTTCATACCCCCAGCAAATGTAAAACTATCTGGGATCAAGCTCCTTATTTCTCTGAAGTAAAAGGACATGAAAAAGACAAAAAGTACTAAAACTAAGCAGAGAATAGAGAAGAACCTGACCAGAAAATTTCAAGAGATCAGAAGAGATCAAGAGACCAGAAAATGTCTTAGAGATGAAACACTGAAGGGTTAAGCACACTGAGAGGACCATGCAGGCAATGCTTGTCAGATTTCCCTGCTGTAAAAGGCTTGGGAACAGGTTTTAAAATACAGCTTCAAAGAGACAAATGAGGGGAAAGGGGCACTGTCAGACTTGATGGAGCTTCTCAGAGTTGCTCCTTAAGGAAGGAGCCTGGGGTCTGCCTGTCTTGGTACTTTCATTAACAGCTGTGGTATGAGAAGTACTGATGAAGTGTACATGTTATAAAAATGGAATTACACTGCTGGCAGAGGGACTGAAGGGCAGGTATTTCATGTAAGAATCAGATGACCTTGCAGACTGCAGTGACAAAAATGGGATGAATTCAACAGTAATAAACACAAGGTTCTCCCCTTGTCTGCCTCTAACAATACATTTGCTATAAAACCTCAGCAGTCAGAAACAACCAAGAACCCAGTTGTGCCAGCTGGGCTTGAATGACAATGAGTCACCAACACAAAGCTGCTGAGAAAAATCTCAGAATGTAATCACAGACATTTCTAACGATACAGGATGGTATTAATTGCATTTTATAAGACTTCATGTGCTATATGCATATGTATATAAAGGGATAAATAGCAGTACAGAAAAACCTGATGAAACTGAGCTGGAGCAAAAATAGGCAGTTACGAATTTTTCTCAGGTAAATTTGTCCTGGAAGTTAGAACTTCTAACTACCAAAGCAGGGAGGCTCAGCAAAAGCCTTGCTAGCAGCCCAGATCTCCCCACTGGTTTTAAATGGAGCCTGGTGGGTTCAGGCACAGAATTATGAGATGAGGCAGGTGGCAAAACACACTGGGGCCTGGCAGGTCCCTAACTCAGCTCA